AATAAGAGAGACAGAATATTAGTTGATAAGCTTCGCACGCATCTGCATGACAATCTGCTTGCCCTTTTGTTTGCAAAGAATCACTAGCCCGAACTGTGCCTGACTTCCCTAGCCGCCGCCCATCGGCTCGGGCAACGTCGTCACATTCGGCGAGGATAACTACGGGCTGAACCTGTCGGCGGAGGACGAGGCGGACCAGGAGTCGGAGAACGACGACTGCAACCTGTCGGAGCTGAACATGGACCAGCTGCTCGGCAGTGGGAGCCTCAGCTCGTTGCGGTGTTTCCTGGGCAGGCAGAGGCTGGAGCCGCTGCCGGAAGAAGAGGACACGTCGGGCAGCGCCAAGGACCAGGTCGGATGGTGGTGACAGCGGTTTCAAACGGCGGCGTCGAAGAACGTCGGCACGAGCTCCGACCCCGGGAACGAGAGGGATCGTATATTCGCGAGATTGAGCCAGGAGGACGAGGAGTTCCGCAGGAAGATAGTGAACCTTCACAGAAAGTTGTCGGACGTCGAGGACACCTACGCGGCCGAGTGCGCGTCGTCGGACATCTCGAAGGCGTCGAAAGAAGCGGAACGCCTGAGGGAACTGGAATCGGTGGCGCGACGAGCGGAGGAGACCAGGGAGAGCAGAAACGCCGAGAGAATCGGAGCGGAAGAACAGGCGAAGAACAGGGGAGAAGGATATTTGGGCCCGGAACTGCTCGGAGCCGACACGAGGAGAGGCCGATGTTACGGCCGGAGAGGCGACGCGCAACAGGAGCAACGGAGAAGGCGAATGGAGCTGTTCCAACGGAAGACGAGCAGGCTGGAGGAGGACTCGGACGATCAGAACGACAGCAGCCCGTCCAGAACGACCGAGAAGAATTTCTTGAACAGATTGAGAATAAAACGGCGCAGCATGAAGCTGCTCAGCTTCCTGAGCGGCAAGGCCGCGGACAGGTCGCAGGAGGAGCGCGCCGCGAGACTGCTGAGGATGTACATGCCCGAGAAAGGATCGAAAGCACAAAACACTATTTCTATTCATCATACGTCCAGGGACAGGCGATTTTGGAAGCTGCGTAGTCGAAGGCGGACAAATTCCTCTTAAAGCGGGCAGAGCGAGGGGGAAGCTCTCTGTCCAAGAGAAGGCAACTCGACGATGGAACGACGACGGCCGCTTCTTTGTTACGTAGAATTCCCAGTATTCGAGTTATCAAAGTTTTTTGAATTCTATTTAAGCACGTACAAGTTCAGACTTGTTTTCATAGAGTCGTAGCGTAACGATACCGAGAAGAAAAGAGAAAACAAAAAGAAAAACAAAAAAAGACAGGCTAGGTTTACAGTTTCGAGTTTAGAGTAATCTCTCTCCTCTCGTCCTCTCGTAAAACGGTTTCCAAGTGCTTTCTTTTCAAAGTACTTTCGTCGAAGACGGTTAGTCGATTAAAGAGAAAAGAAGAAAACAAAAAAAAAGGAATAAAATAAAATAAAATAAAATTGCAAAATGCGAGAATCGCGTTCTGCATCGTAGCGTGCTTGTCAGAATTTTTAACGGGACTCTCGATTCTTTTCGAGAGATTTGGGACGGTCTAGCGGAACGGTTTTTCGAAGTATATATACCATTAAGATCTTGTTTCGTTTTACAGCGTAAGTCTCGCTCATTGAAACTGTTAGACGAAGTTTGTTTCATTTTTTGGAACACACGTATCTCAGTAGGTCCGCACGACTGACGCAACGCGGCACTCATTTTCCACCATAGGTCTTGCTCGAATATACCGGAAAGAGAAAACAAATTGTAAAAAAATTGAAAAAAAATTGGAAAAAAAAAAGATTGAAATTTTAACATTACTGTTGGTAGGTCGTAACATGGCCAAATGGCTGTAATCAATATACAAAATAAAGTATATTATTTGTTCAATGATTGTTTCCACATTTCCTGAAATGGTAGTTATACTGATTCATCTTTGTACGTTAATTCTTGGCTTTCGTGATAATCTAGCATCGTCAATCACTGAAAGAGAAGATTATTTCAAATTTTCCCGCTGAAAATGGCTCGAGGTACGACCTCGTTCGATTTCTAAAAAAATACTAATACACTTTTGTCACAGTTGGTTTAAAAATGGAAAGGGCATCATTACACGTGTATATTTCTTTCAAATGTGTGCCACGCAACAGTTTTGATTCAATTTCGAATTCAAGTTTCAACTTGTAAATCTTTGCACATGCATTTTGTAGCGACAAGCGAAACATAGAAAGAAAGTTTAAGTTTCAGAAAACAGAGATGCAACTGTGAAAGTTTGCAAATTAATTTTCCTAGTTAGTTTTTCTGGCAAATAAAAATTTACTTACTTTATGGACGTTGAAGTTCTAACGCCGCGGTAGTACTAGTGGAATTAAAATCTGTTCGTCTTCTTCTCGAACATTATCATTATCCTTGTTTACAAATAAAGGTGCTGCCATCTGTTGAACTTCCTATACGTCTGTCCTTGTCGCACATCTTGCTCTCCTTGTCTAATTCACCGAGAAGAAATTTCAAATTTTTATTCATGCATCTTTTCTACGTCAGCTGGAATATAGGAAGAGAGCTTAGCGTTTGAGGGCGAAACTACAATTATAAAAATCCATAAATTAATTCTCCCAATCAAGTTCTCGCAAATAAAAATTTCCTGAATTCGTGGATACCAGCGCTACGTCGCGGTGAAATAGTAAAAGTAAGATTTATTGTCCTTGTTGCAACAAGGATAGCAATAGATGTTAGTTCCATCGTCCCACTGCGACGCGGCGCTGGCATTTCAATGTCCATGAATTTTTATTTTTAAAATTTTTGTGTACAGAAAAACCAATTGATTTATAAGACAATACACGATGTATGATGATATGATATATTAATTTTTCTTTTGACATGACTATCATTTTATAACTATTACTTGCAATAGATTTTGTACAGAAAAGCCCCGGGTTTTGTGACAAATCGTCCGTAAATTTTATTTAAAGAATTACGAAATGAATTGTTATATATTTTAAGACTTATCGTGCGTATAAAGACATGAATCATCTGTCAATGATTTTATACTTTGACTAATTGAGTAAAAATATATAAAGATCCGCATGCTAACACATTGTCGTAAAGTGATTGCCGACACTGCGTTTGAATGTACATATGGCGCACTTATGCAACCAAAAATAAGAGGTTATAGTTGCAGAAGGATTATTTGACAGCAAAATGACTAAATATACGATGAGAACGATGACACGAGTTATTTTGAAATTGAGTGCTGCAACCACCATAGGTTTTAGTGGTTGGTGTCTGGGAAGATACTCGGAGCAGCAACGACATTTGAATGCAGAAATAAGAGACAGTGGAACTAATATTATCTCAAATGTAAACATTAAAAAAATGCCCGGTTTACCCCTATTCGGAACCGTTTCCGCAGCGGTTCCCGTTGACACAAATATGGGTTCAAAATTGTCGACAAGTACTAGAGTAGCTGAAGTAAGTTACTCAAATCGCGCTTAACCTTATTAATGAAAAACCAGTATCAAAAGTTTCACCAGAAATCCTGTAGGATAAAAAAAAAAA